AATGTGCCCAAAAGAGCATGATATATTGAAGGAGAAAGTTGAGGAATTGCCATAGGAGGCACATTCCAGAAAGTATTAGCCGGTGTGCTGTACTAGCCCTGCTCACAACAAAGAAAAATGGATCTTGGCGCATGTGTGTGGATAGTAGAGCCATCAACAAAATCATCATAAGGTACATATTCCCTATTACCCACCTGGATGATATGTTGAATCAACTTAGTGGGGCTAGAGTGTTCACAAAGCTAGATTTAAGGAGCTGATATCATCAAATTCATATTAGACCTGGGGATGAATGGAAAGCAACCTTCAAGACAAAGGGTTGCTTGAATGGATGACCATGCCATTTGGACATTCAGAATGCACCAAGCACCTTTATGTACTTGATGAATCAGGTCCTTTGGCCCTTCTTATCCCCCTTTGTTGTGGTTTATTTTGACCGTGTTGACGATGTTGGCGAACCAGTTTGGAACGATGCTGAACAATCGCTGCACCATGGCCTTGTCCGCGGGAGTCATGCCAATGGAACGGATCTTTCTCACTAGCATGGTAAGCTTTCTGGCGAACTTCGGGATCGTCTCCCCATCCGCCATGTCGAGGTGATCAAACTGCCTCTTGAGCTGGGGTGCACACGCCTTTTCACTCCTCGCCGATGAGCACACACCGGATCGGCTTCCATGCCTCCTCCGCGGTGCCGTAGTTACAACCTACATCATCAACGTGATCTGGGACAGATTGAGAGAGCGCGGCGAACACTCCCTCATTTGCCGGCTGGTTGAACTCCTTGGTCGCCGACCAGATGGAGAGTGCCTTCATCTACACCTTCATCTTCAAGGCCCACAATAAATACATTTCTGTCAGCATCGATATTGCACTGGCACATTAGTGGCCCTCGATGCGGCAGCTAGCACCAGGACGCTGACGTCTGCATTGCTTGCACCGGTCTTCCTGGCCGGTGGTGGCGTGTACTTTTCGCCGCTGCCTTTTCCACCACACTTCTTAGGTAAATCTGGGAATGGGTTTTGATTAACTGGGGCCAATGGTTTGGTTTTTTGCTCTGGGCTTAATTGGTTCGGGTTGTGATGGGCCAGACTGTTATCAGTTTGGTTTGGTTTGGGTTTACATAAAAACAAGTTAGGTATGGCTGGGTGTGGGTCTAAATGGTTTGGTCGCTAACAGTTGCAAATCCTGGTTTAGAACCGGTTCTTGAAGTGGGTGTATGCACGCGACGTGACGTGGCTGTTCACACACGTATGTACGCGACGCGACGCTTCTGGACACATACGTATTGGGCTGCTACTATGGATCAATTAAGCTACTAGCTAGCTTGTTTGTTTCTTGGTTAGCTTTGTACATGCAGCAGATTGATTTGGTTTCAACCCAAAACTAAGAACTAGGTTAAACCCATAGTTTGAATAGTGGTTTGGTTTTGGTTGAGGTGGACAGGGCGTACGGTTTGGTTTGGTTTTGGTTCTGCATGATAATTGGAGGTGTGGTTTAGTTCTGATTCAAACTCCGCGTTGACTGGTTATGGTTTAGGTTTGGTTGAGTTGTATAACCATTGCCAGGTTTATTCTTAGGAGATGTATCCCCCATCGTCGCCCCCAAACACCTCTGATCATCGCCACCACACGCCCAAAAGTCCTAACCTAAAGGCTATGGTACCAATTGATGGTTTTTGTGGGTGATCTGCTCTCTCTCTCTCTGAACCAAGCTGGACAAAGACAGAGTGGATGAACGCAGTCACAGGGATAAGAGGTTTTTGAGACGTGTAAACTCTGCGTCTTTTATTTTTTACCCTCACCACGGTCCTACAATTGTGCACGCCATCCCACGAGCTGGGATCATGCCGAGTCAAGAGCTTAACTAAACGAGCTAAAGACTAGGCCTGGCCACAGCTGGAACGCAGCAAGCTTCTGGCCCATGCAGACTACTTGCAGGCTAAAGAAAGTGCGGGTACGCTTATATAGCTACTATGAAGATAGCGAGACATGAAAGATGCAGATACCTTGAAGTTAACATTAACACTGTATTCTTGATCAACATCGTGTCCACATTTTGGGATTTAGAATGTACTTTAGTCTTCGATAATGAGCTACTAGTAACTTCACATTTGACTTTGTACATTTGTTTTTTCAACATACATATGTGCTCGTAATTGTGTTTATGAGGTATTGGCAATCCCATCCTCCCAGGCTCAAACCTGGGACAACTAACCTCTCTCTAAAATCAAATTGCATGTGTGCCTGCCTGGAGCTTACAAAATGGTTTTCTTAGTAAGTATTGTTAGAAAATACGGAAAATCTATGTTGAAACCGTGAGAATACATGTCTTCCCATGCTGCTCCTTTTCCAGTGGGTTTTACCTATATATGGAGAGAGCATATGCATGAATGCAGCAATTGTACACAGCATGCTGACATCATCACATTAATTGCTTTTTATGAATTTTTGAAATGATTCATCTCACAAACAGTTAATCTGATTAGCGATCCGTCTTAACTAGCGGGTTTGCCTCGACGAGGGCTTTGAAACAAGATCGCTTGTTGACATGTTTTGATGATTTTTGTCGTCGCCACAAGTCGCCAGATTATTACCATAGTTGCCATCTTAACGGTGAACAGTTGCCATGATGGTTGTATATAATTATCAGATAATAGTAGCGTATGTTCAAGAACACTGCAATGTTATGCATAGCTAGACAGTGTATTCGAGAGCAAGAATTAGGAGTGCACGAGTCGATCCGAGGTTGAGACTCATAGACTAATTGTTAGTAGTCTAGGCTAATGCTGGACTACTCAACATGGTACTGTAATACCCAACTTACAGAACTCAATTACTAATACCTAGTATGTAGTATATACTATATAGTACAGTACAGTATACAATAAAAAATGAATGCATGGGAAGTGGATGCAGAACCTGAGGCTGTGCCAATTGTAATAGCTATTCATGAGGAAGTGGATGAAGTACTCAACTGCTCACTTGTCCCTCCCAATTTCCCCTAAAAAACCTTATCCCTCCCAAATTGAGTTGATCGACTCATACACCCAGACTAGTCTGGACTAGTCACTCCACCACTCGACTCAACAAGCTAGTCTACATGAAGAAGCTAGTCGACAGTCAGATTGAGACTACTAGACTAGTCACGCGACTAGTCAAGACTAGTCGTGAGACTCATAATCCATGTTCAAGTGTTAACAATTGGTAAGAAGAGACATAAACCAACACAAGTACCAGGAAGCAAGTCTTGTAGTGGTGTATATCGACGTCCAGAAATCTGAGAACTAAGTTAATTTAATCTGGCAATGAAGTGGGAAACAACATGGCGTGTACTTGATACTAATCTGGCAAGTATCGACAAAAAAATGTCGTCGAAACATGCCGACATGGGATCTCGTCCCGAAGATCTCATCACGAGGAAACTAATTGTGAAAGCGGATTGTAGATCGATTCAAGAGATAAAACTATTTAATAATGCACAATCAAAAGAATCTTTGCTGATATCATGCTTACTAGATTGTGATGCGCGCCTTGCTGCGCTATTTTTCTGGCGCGTTGTTGTTTTTAAATTTTATTTTTGAATTATTATGGTTGCTTGGTTCACTTTAAGTGTGTTGGGCCGTTTCTGGGATTATTGCCCCTTGATTCTGCGATTTGTGCATGGTGCTCGTCCTGAAGGATCTGCGGTTAGTCGGTTTGATATTGAGTTTTGTGACATGTTTAAGCTTGGTTATCAAGGTTCGTTGGTTGCGAGAGTCGTCGACACGTACATAAAAGTTTCTTGTGGTGGAACCAGCCCATCAGGGTTCAAGTCAGACTTGGCACTGGTGCTCGTATTTTCCTGGATTTATTTCAGTTTTTCCAGTGATGTTCGTTCAGTGGGGGGAGACGTTCACGTCGACTATGACGCACCTGTGATGACTTCGTCAATCTCAAGATGTTGTGCCGGCTCAGTATCTCGGAGGTGCTCATAGAGATAGGGTGTCCGTGCGTGCATTCATAGGGGTAAGTGCATGTCCGTGTATGTGAGCATCTGCAAATGTACTGTGTTAAAAAAGAAGTGGTCAGCTAACAGCCCACACGACCGCCACAAATACATGCAACACAAAAGCAACGCCCCATCCACTTTACACATGGACCCCACCATGAGGCTCCAGTCCGGTTTCACCAGAACACTTCCCTTAAAGCGAGCTTAGAGTTTTAGGTGATGCCTTGTTGCATGCATGCAAGAAAGAGATGGGAGGGTGCCGGCGCATGGGTGGGCAAAAATGCGGCGCCGCTCTCTGGTGCAGTCCGAGAAAATATGTTGCTGCTAGATGTTTGTGATAGCTGTGATGTCAGCACTGCTAAAACTCACACATGGATTGTCTATTCAGTCCTTTTCTGCCTCGGTATGTTCTCAAATTTTGTGTTTATCTTGAAAAAGAGGCTATCGCAAGAATTTAGTGATGCGAGTGGCGGTGACATCGAGCACATTGTTTGATTTCCGAAGGTTAAAGCTTAATGGCCATGGTTCCCTTTTCTTGTTTAAATTGAGTAATTGACAAGGGCTTTGACTATATTATATACATCAGTTGTTTATAGGTTCAACTAATTGCAACAATGAGGATTGTTAGGTCCAACTTCGTTAATTAAGGTTCTAATTTGTATCATTATGTAGTTATTTACTCCCACCTATTGCAAACATAAGCAGTTTTTGACATTGCTAATTATACCATATTACAATGCCTCAATGAAACGTGAATTTGTATATTTCTTGATGAGTCTAGTAATACCAATTTCATGTGGCCAGTCTAGATATGTTGTTCTTCACTAAAATTGCTTGCATCGGCATGATTCTAGGGTGACTTATGTTTGTCATTGTTGGGCCTACATGCTTTTACTACCCATGAAAACAACGGCACATGATGCTTTTGTCTTGGATGCATAATTTTTGTTGTTATATTACACTTGAGTTGAAATATAATTGTAATGCCTACTTCGTTTGCTGCTTGGATGCAGTGGACAAAGTGGAGACTCTAAAGCGCTACAAATTCAGCTTGGCTTTTGAGAATTCTAATGAGGAAGATTATGTTACAGAAAAGTTTTTTCAGTCACTGGTAACAGGTAATACTGTATGCTATAACCACTCACCCAAATCCCAGTGCACTCCTACGACTCACACAATTTGCACCGTGTAACTCTCATTGAGCATAGCAGGCTGAGTATATGTAACTAGGTTGTGCCTCATGACTTCAATTAGTTGAGTAATGAATTCTATGAACTGCATGTGCTAGTTGATTCGAAAATATTTTGTTCACATGGAAAAAAGTCTATGATCTCAACAATTGAAATGTATTGTAAAAATGCCATCTTCAAGAAACTAGACATACTGTGAAACAAAAGGAGTTGCATTCTCAAGTGATTAGAAGAATCACCATTTTTCTAATATTCTCCATGTTTACTCATTGACACTTTCTTATTTTGTTGCTATATTCCAGAAGTCGATTTACATTTTAAGTTTATGAAGTTTTAACTGTAGATGGAATGGAAGTGATTTTCCAATATTTGATTTGCACTTCATTACAGGGGCCATTCCAGTTGTCGTTGGCGCACCGAATATTCAAGAGTTTTCTCCAGGAGAAGGTGCAATATTACACATTAAGGAGCTTGATGATGTCATTTCAGTTGCTAAGACAATGAAACATATTGCATCAAATCCTGATGCTTTTAATCAATCTTTGAGGTAGATATCCTTCTTTGCCAGTTGACCACATCCCTTAAGTAACATGTGTATCATGCACCAATCATTTTGTTGGAACAGCCTATGTTCTCTAGCTAAATTTGGAACAACCATGATACATATTTGCAAGATCAAGTACTTAATTAGCATGAGAGCAATGGAAAATATGGGAGCCTTGTTTTTCTTTTCTGAAGCTATATTCCAGTTTGCTGGGGAGTAGGCTGTGTTGCATTATGAACTTCAGTATGATGATGCTTTTGCCTATTTATTTTTGTTGCATCAGGATCAGGCATCAATCGGCAATCATCATATTTGGTTAATATGTGACTTGTTCAGGAACCAAATTGCTGCATACTTAAATCAAGGAATGAATTTCCCCATCTAGATAGGCTTTAGTGTGGCTCTGGCACTTTGTATTAAAGATAAGGATGCAATCCTAGACTGAACATGACCAACCACTTAGAGCCTACAAGCTTGAAGCACGCGGCAGTTGCTTGAATTAGGCTTTATATTATAACCAACGGGAACTTCACTCTAACTTACTAATACTTTTGAAATAATCTGTTGCTCTGAATGAAGGTAATAGTACAGTGTACTGCTATTAGTGTCTACTGGGAATAGATGTGATCTCTTTCACGTCCTAGTCTCTCGGATCTCTTTATTTATTTCTACCATGATGTAATCTCTTTCACGTCCTAGTCTCTCTGATCTCTTTATTTATTTCTACCATGATGTGATCTCTTTCACGTCCTAGTCTCTCGGGTATCATCGAGTAAACTTTAGAAGATGCATGAAAATTCATGTTTTTATTGACAAAATCTTACGTTACAATTTTGTCAGAGATCTTCTAGCAGCCATAGCGTCATCATGTTTCTGTACTCAAATCATACCATTTGTTTTGCATCTGTAGGTGGAAGTATGATGGTCCATCTGATTCTTTCAAGGCACTTATTGACATGGCAGCGGTTCATTCATCCTGTCGCCTTTGCATACATATCGCTACGAAGATTCACGAAAAAGAAGAAAGAACGCCAAAATTTATGAATCGCTCATGTAGTTGCTCCAGCAAAAGAGGAACAGTATACCACTTATTTGTCAGAGAGAGAGGGCGGTTTAAGACAGAGAGCATTTATCTAAGGTATGGAAATACGGTTGTGCTTACCATGTACTATTAGTGACTGGTATTTGCAGTTAACATCATTAAGAACCAAGAGAAAAACAGCAACTTATCATTTTGTATTCCGTAGTCTCAGCTTCTGCTATGTTGTTGCCTAATTAATTATAATTACTAGTTTCCTTGCATTATGAAATTATTAAGTTTTTTTACTGCATCTTTTTGCTTGTTTCTGTTCTGCGTTCTTACAGATGTTCCCTGTGTATACCATGCAGATCAGATCAGTTAACTTTAGGAGCTTTGGAGTCTGCCGTGCATGGTAAATTTAGATCCCTCAAGCATGTTCCTGTATGGAAGGATGAAAGGCCATCAAGTATTCGAGGCGGGGATGAGTTGAAGGTGTACAAAATTTACCCAATAGGTCTTACAGAAAGACAAGCGTTATATAAATTTCAATTCAGTGATGATGCTGAAGTTGCTAGATATATTAAGGGCCATCCATGTGCAAAGCTTGAGGTGATTTTTGTATAACTACAATATTGCCATCTTCGCTACCTTTTGCAACTGCAAACTAGTTCTGTGTGTATTGAGTTTCTGCTGTACTGTAATAGATCCCCGTTTATGTAACGTCAACCTTGATACAAGTCACAACTTTGTAGGCTTTGTGATACTGGGATGTAAATTTCTATTGACAGGCAAGTACATCTTTTGCGGGAAACAATTAACATGGATTGCGTAACAAAAGTAGAAACGTTGTGCTTTGTAATGACAGTGTCGGACATGCATTGTGAGTAAATCTGTGTGTGGTTCTGTTAGAAATACTAGCAAAAGTGCCTGTGCGTTGCAATGGGAGAAACAAATTATGACTCGAAGCTTCCCCATCCATGTTATCACTTCTCTTCTTTGTCTTCATTGTCGATGGTGGTCATGTTGTCATCTAAACCTAAGAATTGCAGCGTGTGGACGTGTTTGAGATCTCAGTCTTGGCCACATCTGGACAATCTAATTCTCACGTGTTGCGTTTGTGTTATCTTGCTTTTACGTCCGCGTTTGTGTTATCTTGCTTTTACGTCCGCGTTTGTGTTATCTTGCTTTTACGTCGTACTCCCTTCGTTCGGAAATACTTATCATCAAAATGAATAAAAGGGGATGTATCTAGATATATTTTAATTTTAAATACATCCTTTTTTGTCCATTTTGATGACAAGTATTTTCGGACAGAGGGAGTAGTAGTTTAGTACCAGTTCGTGTAGGACAAAAACAAATATTAAATCCAACTTCAGTTAAAACGATCATTACCAAAGGCTTTGTTTATTTTTTCTTGAGACTTTCAACCACGTGCATGCAGTCGAGTTTGAATTAGTCCCGACTCGTAGATCCCCTTTTGATACCTTTTTCATTCATTGATCAGGGCATATGATTGCATGCATTGTCTCAGGAATGTCCATCTTTAAATTATGCAGGGTACATGTATCTCATGAACTAGTTGATTTCCCGTGCGTTGCAGCGGGATGTTTTGCAATCAGCTTATATGTGAGAGATGCACATCAAGAAAGAAAATAAGAAAAAATTTGATAATTGTTTGCTAACCTGCATGAAAGGATTAACAAAGAGACTATTCGGTAAACATCTCCTCCAATAAGAATTTTTTCACGGTATCTCCTCAAATGAAGTTGCTTGGTGATCAAGTGAGTTGATGAAATAATGCTTTTTACGAACTCGATCTCAAGAGAATAACACTAAGGCATTAGGGGAGAGGTAAACACATTGACGGAGCTCCAGCGGGGTGTCTGGGACATCTACCTGTTTGGATAATGATAGAAGCATATGCGACGATGAAGCTATGTTAGTATATCACCTGCAGTGAAGCTGTGTTATGTCAGAGAAAGTGCGGATGGGATCGAAAAAGGGAAGTAAAAAAAATGAACGAATCCTTACTTGTTAGTCAGGCCATTAGAAATGCTCATTCGATCATGCTCTCATCATGATGGTCGCCATGCTACTACTCCAATTAAGATGAGACCCATGGACCCGCAACTTTGGATCGCGCAACATGAGGATCAGCCCAGGTCAAACGGCGGCAAGAGGAGATACCTGTCACCGCCGCCATGTGCGGACTCCTCCGCATGCTGTCGGAGCCACATAAGCCAGATTCGGGCTTTAGGACCGGCAAACATAGGGCATCGATGGAGGCTTAGGCAAGTCTTGAGGCAACGACGACCTCACCGTCATAAAGTGATGTCCCCATAGACTTGAGAGCGGCAGTGCACGTCCTCGACGACTGTGCGTGCAACCGTGGCCTCCCTGTAATGCTCCCGCGATATGGTGCGATTGGACATCTCCCCTCCCTTTTTGTTCGTTATATAATAGTAGAGCTTTGCTAATATTACATCATCTATATGGTCTGATCAGATAAACCAATCACCAAACAAATCAATCCAAAACTAATCTAAACTATGATTTGCTGGTTTGGAGTCTAAATTTTTGATAAAGAACTTGATTGATTTTCTGGCTTACCTTCGCTGCTCTAGCGAGTTCAGTAGACGATCGATGTCTCCGGCTCGTGGCGCCAAGCTCCGCTACTACGTCTGCAGAACTGATTGCCATCCAGCCTATTTCTCTGGTCGATGGGCATCAGTGCACTATATTCGTTCGTGATTTGTATGTAGATCTCTACAGTAGTGTGGGGAATGCATGTGGAAGCCGAATTGCGCTTCAAGCCTGCAGATTTCTGGTGAAGGCAACCAGAGGAAGCTTGACCAGTGGCATCGCAATATGAAGAGTGTCACGAATAAAGAAGGAAGGTGAAGAATTAGGAAGATATGGTGGAGTTTTATTGGTGGATGGTAGATGGAAGGAACCATCAGGCGAAGAGGCAAACAAAACATATTGATTTGCTCACATTGAAGGCTGCATGTTACAGATTAGTTGATTGGTGTTTACGGCTGGAAACAAAACACATGTCGTCATGCATGTGGAGAGTTGTTGATCTGCATGCATGTGGAGTTGCTGATTTGGATGGACTGATGAGGTGGATAGGCCTAGGGAAAGAGATCGAGAGGGGCTGGAGACTGATTGGTGGATTGAAAACTGAATGCTGATGTGGCATTATGATGATGTGGATAGTGTGCATGTTGAGAGGATTGCTAGTAGTGAGGATCAACTTCTTAAGAATGTAAGATATGTTTTATATAGGATATAGAATTTTAATTATCCCTCTCAAATACGTTTAATAGCCCGCCACATATATAAAAGGTATATAATTAGTCTCTCTTTCCTTGCTTATTTCTCGCTCCCTTGTTTCGTTTGAAATCCTCTAAGCCAATCAATCTTATTGCTTTAATTGGCCGTGCAGGTACTTAGCAGCCACTATTTCCTTTCTTAGCCTCTCTTTCCTTTCATATTTCTAATCCCTCAGACTGCTTCCTGATACCAAGGAAACTTAAAGATAAATTGGGTTATATGTAAAGGGGCAATGTGGGATTTTTTTTTGAGAATTGCAAACACTTTATTGATCAATGTGAATGTTTAAAGGGATACAGGATGGGTCATAAGGAGAGATAAGCTACATGTGGTGACCCTGATCAAGCATAGCAAAATATTTGGCAAATAAATGAGCTTCACATTTCGAAGCTCTACCTTGAAAAGTAACTAAGAAACTACCTAAGTTACTAGCCCGGTCAATAAACTCCTTTATAATGGCCCCATAAACGCCTCCTTTTCCCTTTGTGATATCTCTAACAACCGTCTTGCAGTTGCATGCAATAATGATCTTAGAGAGCGAAAGATCTCCAGCAAGTGCTAGCGCCTCACGACAAGCAATAATCTCCAGCGTGGCCGTGTCAATGGTGCCCGGAAGAACCATAAAAGATGATCCCGGGTAGTTGCCGACCGTACCTTTGCAAGTAGCTACTGACGCACCGGTTTTCCCGTCTCTCGAGAGACCTTCATTCATCCACATGAATTTTGTAGAAACCTTCGTCCGACTGTTTCCACGTACTTTGCACAGTAGGTCGGGGGATTCTCCTGGTCGCCGGTGTAGAACTGACTACCTTGATGGAATCAAGCTCCCTAATGAACTGTTCAATGAACAAGTGGGCGTACATTGGACTCTAAAATATATTCTCGTGTATAGCCCTCCTTCGAGCAGTCCAAATCGCCCACAAAGTCACAACCATCTTGACAAACTGTGCATGCGATAATGAGTCCCAGAGCTCAAAAATCCATCTCTTCGCACTTGGATCAGTCATCTCCATAGTTTTTCAGAAAGTCCCTCGTCCACGAGAGCCCAAACACACCTAGTTGTTGTACATTCCACTAGCGAGTGTTTCCATGAGTCCACAACACCACAAAGCTGGCAATTATCAGTGTTGGCGATGATGACGGACATCCTTGATGACCCACAAGTATAGGGAATCAATTGTAGCTCTTTTCGATAAGTAAGAGTGTCGAACCCAGCGAGGAGCAGAAGGAAATGACAAGTGGTTTTGAACAACGTAATGTCTGCAAGTGCTGAAATTGTAAGTAACAGAGTAGTTTGATAGCAAGATATTTTGTAACGAGCAAGTAATGATAATAGTAACAAAAGTTCAGCAAGGTAGCCCAATCCTTTTTAGGCAAAGGACGGGCCAAAACGGTCTCTTATAGTAAGCAAAGAGTTCTTGAGGGTACATGGGAATTTCATCTAGTCCTTTCTTCATGTTGATTCGATTTGTGTTCGCTGCTTTGATAATTTGATATGTGGGTGGACCGGTGCTTAGGTGCTGTTCTTACTTAAACAAACCTCCTACTTATAATTAACCCCCTCGCAAACATCCTCAACTACGAGAAAAGTATTAAGGATAAATCCTAACCATATCATTAAACTTTTGGATCTAATCGGTCCCTTATGGAATAGAGCATAAACTAGGGTTTAAGCTTCTGTCACTCTCGCAATCCATCATCTAATAAGTACTCCATAATGCATTCCCTTAGGCCCAAATATGGCGAAGTGTCATGTAGTCGACGTTCACATGACACCACTAAGGGAATCACAACATACATACTATCAAAATATCGAACACATATCAAGTTCACATGATTACTTGCAACATGATTTCTCCCATGACCTCAAGAAGAAAAGTAACTACTCAGAAGTGATAAACATGCTCAAGACCTTAAATATCATATGGATCTGAACATATAATCTTCCACTAAATAAACCATATAGTAATCAACTACAAGATGTAGTCGACACTACTAGTCACCCACAAGCACCAATCTATAGTTCCGGTAACAAGATTGGACACAAGAGATGAACCAGGGTTTGAGATGAGATGGTGATGTTGAAGATGTTGATGGAGATTTCCTTCCCCAAGATGGGAGAGTTGTTGGTGATGATGAGGACGATGATTTCCCCCTCCGGGAGGGAAGCTCCCCAGGCAGAATTGCTCCGCTAGAGGGCAAAAGTGCTCCTGCCCAAGTTCCGCCTCGAGATGGCGGCGCTCCGTCAAGTCCTTACCTTATTTTTTCTAGGTCAAAATGATTTATATACCAGAAGATGGGCACCGGAGGTGGGCATGGGTGAGCACAACCC